CATTGGGCAATTCCTACTGTGGCTGAAGGCTAATCCTACCTTTGTTGGATCTTGGGCAGGGGTGAAATCCAGCAGGTTCTAACAGGTTCTGGAGAACCGGTAGCAGAAATTTTGAGTAGTTCGGAGAACCAGCAAATACCAGAGTGGCCCCAGAGTGGGGTGGGAATGGAGATTTTGCAATATCCTTCCCCCAGGAGGGGAGAGGATGGAGATTTTGCAGTATCCTTCCCCTGGAGTGGGGTGGGAATGGAGATTTTGCAATATCCTTCCCCTGCCACGCCCACCAAGCCATGCCCATAGAACCGGTAGGGAAAAATTTTGGATTTCACCCGATCTTGGATGCTTATGAATAGAGCCATCTATCTCTTTATCTCTTAAATTCTAACATCTGCTGAGGGCTATTAAAAAATGTGGGGGCTGCTTTCCAAGAGCATGTTTCTCCATTCCTCCTTTAGGGGAAATATAATATTCTGCCTTTTTAAATATTACCTAAAATATTTCATTCTTCTAGGAGAGGGGTGGGTGCTAACTTTCTACAAAAGCTATACAGTAGCTGCTCCCCCTCCTTCTCCCTCCAGACAAGCTCAAGGTCCTTTTAATGAATGCTACATGGACAATGCATGCAAAAAAAAAACAAAACCCAACAGGGCTTTGATTGTGTAGTCAGAGCCGCTGCCTTGACTTCTTTTATACACAGATAGCACCTACTTTTACATGGGTTTCTAAAAGCCACTTGACATTTCCTATCTGTTTCTGAACTGGCCTGAAATTTGGCCTTTAGTTACATGAAATAAAATAAAACTGTTGGGAGGGAAAATCCATCTGGTTCAAATTCCAAGCTGGGAGAAAGACGCTGGAAACAACATGGAGGCTGATTGGAAAGATGGTCCATGTATTTTTTCTTTTTCTTTTTTAATTGAAAAGTTTTACAAAGAAAATCCCCCCCCCAATCCCACTACCCCCACCCTGCTTCCCATCCCCCCCTCCCCCCCAGACTTCCCAGAGCAAAATACAGGGCATTTCAATTAACAATCATAAGCTAAATTAACCTAACTTATTCTTAGACTACCAAATCCCCCCCTGAAACCTTAACTCCACTATGGCTAGAATTTAACATTCATTCATAAGCTATTTGATATTTTCTTCTCTGATACTTATTTTGAATATAATCAATCCATCTTCTCCATTCCGATATGTATCTTTCTTGTGTATAGTCCTTCAGATATGCTGAAATTTTCGCCATTTCTGCTAAATTCGCTACTTTCAATGTCCATTCTTCAATAGTAGGCAATGAGTCCTTCTTCCAGTATTGCGCTACCAACAGCCTAGCTGTTCAAAATCAGTTTAGTCTCTATTGCTGTACAATCCATCGTTATACCCAATAAAAACAATTGAGGAGTAAATTTCAACCTGAAAGATGGTCCATGTATTGATGAACAGAACCATCAGGGCGGTGGTGGGTTTCAAATTTTTTTTTTTACTGGTTCTGTGGGTGGGGCTTGGTGGGCGTGGCATGGCTTGGTGGGCGTGGCAGGGGAAGGTTACTGCAAAATCCCCATTTCCTCTGGATCAGCTGGGATTCGGAAGGCAGAGAATAGACGGGGTCGGGGCCAGACAGAGGTGGTATTTACCGGTTCTCCGAACTACTCAAAATTTCTGCTACCGGTTCTCCAGCACTGGTCAGAACCTGCTGAAACCCACCTCTGCATCAGGATTTGTAGTTCTGGTGCAGCTGACCAAACGGTTGAATGAGTGGATGGATTTTTATAGTTTTCTGTGACTTTGAAGTTTGAAGTGTTCTGTGGGGAGGGGAGGGGAAGGGTTGGTGCAATGAAGGAGATTGTGTTCTAAAAGGATTTTGGGCAATTCCTATTGTGGCTCATGGCTTTCGTCCTGTGCTGGATCTTGGGTGAGGGGCTGCTTGTTCTAATCCTACCATTCTGTCTTTGTTAGTGGTCAAACTTTGCTGCAAGGAGTTTTGAAATATCCTGTCCTGAATGGATTTTCTGCCTGCAGTATTTGCTTTGCTTATGAATAGAGCCATCTAGATAGTTGGATTTCCTCTTTCAATAAGCTCTTTATCTCCTCAAGTGCTGGCATTTGCTGTGGGCTATTAAGAAAGACTGAGAGGGGGGGATGCTTTCTGTCTTTAAGAGCATATTTCTCCATTTCTCCCTTTGGGGAAATATAATATTCTGCCTTTTTTAATATTTCCCAAAATATTTCATTCTTCTGGGGTGGGGGCTTCCCACAAAACCGACTGATGCTTAAAGCCACATGAAAATCAGATCATCCACGTCATACGAAATTTTAGATTCGGGGCTTTTCAAGCTTAGTCAGATTTTCAGGTTTCCAACGGGCGTGACCCAGTTTCAACTCCACGCAGGTAGGTAGGTGGCTGTCCGTTGCTTTCCATGTGCTAAGAACACAAACTGTTCATTTTCTCCATCAATGCATCCATTACCGCCATCAATGGCCTAACCATTAAAAGTTAATGAGGGAGCTCCACTCTGCATAACAAAACACCACCACTCAGCATAATATTCAGCTTTTACCTGACTTCCTTTCCTGGCAGAGCAAGGAAAGAATCAGGTGTGTCTGCCAGAGCCTCTCTCCCCTATGGTTGGGGATTGCCTATCTTTGATCATTCAGCTACGATGTTGGATGTGCAGAGCAAGAAAACATGGCGCTAATGCATCTGGACGACCTGGAGAAACGTGGGAGTTATTCTGAGGTTCATTTCTCCACATCCATCCATCCACCCACAAGTTTAACTCCAGGAGATCTTGTCACGTTTCTTTTTATCTGCAAGGGAGAAGCAGTTTCGGCATATAGTTTATTTAGCTGTTTTGACTTTCCATCCTGAAAAAGGGGGTTTTATTTATTAATTAGATTTCTATCCTGCCTTTCTAACCTAGAAGCTAGGTTAGCTTCTGCCAACCTAGCTGTTCGAAAGCACGTAAAAAATGCAAGTAGAAAAAGAGGGACCACCTTTGGTGGGAAGGTACAGTAAGTGTCCCATGCGCCTTTGGCATTGAGTCATGCAGGCCACATGACCACGGAGACGTCTTCGGACAGTGCTAGCTCTTCGGCTTTGAAACGGAGATGAGCACTGCCCCCTAGAGTCAGGTACGACTAGCACATATGTGCGAGGAGAACCTTTACCTTTTACAAATAAATATAATAAAATTAATAGTGGCCCTGAAAAAAGAGAAACAATTCAATGTGCGAGGGGAACTTTACCTTTACCTTTTTATCCTGCCTTTATTACTTTATCAGTAACTCATTGTGGTGTGAACATACATACTTGTGAGTTACTTGTGGTGGTGAACATACATGTTCCTTCTTTCTCCTATTTTTCCCACAAAAACCCTATGAGGCTGAGAAAGAAGGACTGGCCCAAAGTTGCCCAACCTGCTTTCATGCCTAAAACAGGATTCGAATCCACAATCTCCTGGTTTCTAGGCCATTACCTTAATTGTTTGTTTTATTAAATTTGTTTGTTTGTTTGTTTTATTAAATTTATATACCGCCCTACTCCTGAAGGACTCAGGGCAGTGAACAGGCACAAAATAAAATACATAAATACAAAAGTTAGAAACATAATTAAAACCAAATTAAATAAGTTAGCCCAATTACTACACCAAATTGGCTGCCTGAATTGCAATTGTTCTGAGCAAAATAGGCTTCAGTTCGAAAGCACCAGAAGAATGTTTTTCTTACACTAGAACCTAACCTGTTTCCCCCAAAATAAGACATCCCCTGATAATAAGCCCAATCGGGCTTTTGAGCGCATGGCAATAAGGCCAAGCACTTATTTCAGGGTTCAAAAAAAAATATAAGACAGGGTCTTATTTTCGGGGAAACATCGTAGCAACAAAACCCCTAAAACATATAGGTCAACAGACTGGTAAACCCTGATTTATGCCACAATAGCAATAGCACTTATATACCGCTTCACAGTCCTCTCTAAGTGGTTTACAGAGTCAGCCTATTGCCTCCAACAATCTGGTTCCTCATTTTATTTATTTATTTATTTATTTTAATTTGATGTATATGCCGCCCTTCTCCGGAGACTCAGGGCGGCTTACAATGTGCTCAGCAATAGCCTTCATTCTTTTGTATATTTATACAAAGTCAGCTTATTGCCCCCACAAACTGGGTCCTCATTTCACCTACCTTAGAAAGGATGGAAGGCTGAGTCAACCTTGAGCCTGGTGAGATTTGAACTTGCAGTAATTGCAGACAGCTGATACTACTTAACAGCACTTTAGTCTGCTGCACCACTAGGGCTCTTATTCATCCCCACAGAGGATCCAATTGCCCAGGTGGGCAAAATCCAGCCTTCGCAAATAACAAACGCGTCGGGGTGGGTGTGTGGTGGTGGTGGTGGGGGGAATGTTTTAGACGTGCCCTCGACCCGCTGCAGTTTTTGTGTCGAGAAGAGCCTTGGTAGTACAGTGGTCTAAAGCACCCTGTTATTAAGACCAGCTGCCTGCAATTACTGCTGGTTCGAATCTCGCCAGGCTCAAGGTCGACTCAGCCTTCCATCCTTTCTAAGGTAGGTGAAATGAGGACCCAGTTTGTGGGGGCAATAAGCTGACTTTGTATAAATATACAAAAGGATGAAGGCTATTGCTTAGCGCATTGTAAGCCGCCCTGAGTCTCCGGAGAAGGGCGGCATATAAATCAAATTAAAAAAAAAAAAAAAAAAAAGACCCGTCGCCCACGCCCTCCCACCACCAACTCCCCCAATTCTGCCATCCTCCAACTTCTCCCGCGCCCTGAGGGACTCACAACTGCCCGGGAAAGGGGGCGTGTGGGCGTGGCCTCTGGAGGCCCAACCCCTCGCTCCGCGCCGTCCGTCTCCGTGACTGGACAGCCCAAGGCAAAGGCGGGGCGGGGGGAGGGCTCGCGGTCTCGCCTCTCCCCCCTCCCTCCCCCCCACCACCACCACGCCCAGGGCGCAGCTGGAGAGCCACGTGGTGTGTGTGTGTGTGTGTGAGTGTGGGGGGCTGTTTCCCACTCGCCCTCCTTTCCCGCGCGGACTCGTCTCTTCTGCCTCCGGTCAAGGCTCTGCGGGGCTGGTCTCGTGGAGTGACGCTTCGCCTTCCCTCCATGCAAAGCCGGCGTCGGGTCTCTCTCTCTCTCTTTTCCCCCCGCCCGCTCGGAGCAGCGCCCGCCGTGGGTGTGTCGGCGGAGGAGGAGGCGGAGAAAACAATAGAGCGGAGGCTTTGAGAGAGGCGCTTCTGCGGGATCGGCGGAGAGGCTTTTTTTTCTCCCCCCCCCCCCCCGCATGTAACCGCGGGACAAAGCCCGGGCTAGACTCGACGACCCCCGCCTTCCCCCCTCAGCGACCGGCCTTCCTTCTCAGCCGGGAAAAAACGACGGAGCCCGCTTGCTGAGCGCAGGCGGGGAGCGAAGCACCGTACAATGGAGCCGGGCTGCCGCTTCCCCTCGGGCTGAGCAACGCCGCGGCGGGGGCAGCAGCAGAGAACGCCTTGAGGGGAGGACGCCTCGCTTCTCTCTTGCTCGCTCGCTCTTTTTCCCCCCTGGCGTCGTTCGGCGACAGGAGAGACAAAAGGCGGTGCGGGTGGAAGGCGAGGACGAGGTGCCAGCTTCTTTGCGCCCGGCCAGCGATGGCACACAGGAGCCGGCCGGTGCGGATGCTGCAGCCGCCGCCGCCGCCGCCGGCTCTGCCGCTTTCGGATGCCCTCTGAGCCCGGGGTTGTTGTTGTCACTGGCAACGGGAGGCGCGGCGCTCTTTCCCGACGGTAACGGCGAAGAGGAGGCTTGCTTTTTTTTTTCTCTTCCCCGGAATCACCCGGCGATCATGGGCAGATGCAACGGACGCTGCACGCTGGTCGGCTTCTGCTCCTTGCAACTGGTGAGCCAGAGGATGGATGGATGGATGGATGGATGGATGGATGGAGAGGGCGGAGGGTGGGGTGACCTTGCTTGTCCAGCCCCGCTTTGGCCGGAGATCCCGAAAAGAGGGGAAAGGATGCCGGGATGGGGGGGGAAGGGGAAGCCTCCCCCCCGCCCAGCCCTTTGTGGAGAATGGGGGGACCGGGGCTCCTTTGTGGTGGTGGGGGGGTGGAGGGGAGAAAGGTGGGGGAGAGAGAAGCACCTTCATAAGAGGCGCCGGGACGGTGCTTGGGCGGCCGGGCAAAGCTTCCCTTCCATCCGGCTCAAACTTTAAATCTCTTCGCCGGGACTGTGGCGTCCCTCCCTCCCTCCTTCCTTCCCTCCCTCCTCTTCTCTTCCTTTCCCGGCTTCCGACGGAGTTGGGCGAACTCCGTGGCTGGGTTCGCCAATGACGGAAGGTCATCGGGATGCAGGAATGGCCCGTTTGGGCTCAGAGAGAGAGAGAGAGAGAGAGAGAAAACTGCCCGGTCTTTCGGCCCCGCCCTGTTTTGATTGATTGATTGATTGATCGGTCAGAAAACCAAATTTCGATCAGGAACCGAAGGGGAAGAAATGAAACCCGGTAACCATGGACGTTCTTCTGGGTACCCGAGAGAAAGAAAGAAAATCCAGATAGTCCTTAGACTGACAACAGTTCGTTTAGTGACGGGTTCAAAGTTACAACCGCACAGGGTGTAAAAAAAAAGGAACTTTAGGGCCATTTGTCACATTTAAACCACCCTTGCAGCATTTCCCCCTGGTCACACAGGAGCAAGATTCGGAATGCGGATCCACTCGTTCATAATTATGACGGTTGCAGTATCCCGGGGCATCATGCAATCCCCTTTTGCCCTTCTGACCCACAAAGTCAAGGGGGGGGGAGCCAGATTCATTTAACAACCGTGTTACTAACTTTTAACGGCTGCCAGGATTCACTTAACCAACTGCGGCAAGAAAGGTCGTAAAATAAGGCAAAACTCATTTAATAAATGTTTCACTTAGCAACAGAAATGTTGGGCTCAATTGTGGTCGTAAGTCTAGGACTATCTGATTAAAAAAAACACACATGATCACAAACGAGATGCTATTTTCTAGTAATAAGAAGCCACCAGAATTCCACAGGTGAAGGAAGAGTGTATGAGTATGTTTAACAGCGAAGAAATCTGCCTATTTTTCTGAGCTTTATCTCTGACCCTCATCTCTTCCTTACCACCTTGAGTTGAATTTTATATTGTAAGCTGCTAAGGGCTGGGAGATCTTAGCCTGGGGTGTGTTTTTTTGCGCAGCTGATCACCAGCTGAAGATCTCCAATGAAGTTCAGCCTAAGAGAAAACTAGCACGGGGGAGGGGAAGGGTAAAATACGTGATTGTCTTTTTCGAGATGCAGGTGCTGGAGCTGTTTTTAGCTTTTATGAGAAGTGGTTCAGGATGCTGTGGTTGAAGAGGACGAGTATAACTGATCTTTCTCTTTACAGGAAATTTTTACTTTGACGCTGAGGGTTCTGCCAAAGCGGTTTTTTTGCTTTTGCATTTTTTTTTAAAAGAATGCAGATTAGAATGGCATCGCATCGGTCATTTTGTACTTAATGTCCTGAGAAGAAATTTATAATAAGCTCACAAGAGCAATAAACAGGTCTACTGTTACAGCAGAGTGCTATTCTTATGGCATAAAAGTTGCCATAAAAGTTCTTTCCTGCTTTGTTAGGGTCGTGTTTCTAACTTTCCAGTTTTATTTTTGTAACAGGCTAGCATGAAAGAGAACATAATGGAACTCTTAATTCCATACGGGAGCATTTGGGGCATAGCTTTGGTGTCGCTTTGAAGAAAGTAGAGATGATTAGCTCACCCACCGTACGAATGGTGAAAATTAGTGCTCTCGTAGAGTAATTCTCTATGTTTGATAAAGCTCCAACGTAGCCATTTCCCATCATTTTAGCTTAGCATGTGGAATGAATGATCTTCCCAATTTCTTTGTGGTCTGGATGCTGTTGCCACCATCCCTGTATGTGTCCATGGAGGTAAAATGTCCAGTGACTACTTATAACTGTATACTTGAATGTCCATTGGAAAAAAAAATCACTGGGTTGAGTGCACAACACAGGACCATAGCTCAGTGGTTGAAAATGTATTTTGCCTGTTGGTGGACCTGGGTTCAATACTCATTGTTTCCAGGTAGAGTAGGCATAAATTGTGCCGAGCTCTTCCTAGTCAAGAATATGATGATGATCCTTAAAAACCACAATATCATCTCATACGTAATAATAACACTGGCAAAATTCATTTAACTTATCGTATGTTATGACAGCACTATGTATATGACATCCTTGTATGCTCACGGGCCAGAATAGTCATCATTGAGTAGTTGGGTTAGTCGTTGATTCAATGTAAGCCATTTTTTAAAATATTCGGAGTCATTGCTAAACAGTTGATGGGTTCAGATCAGGGATGAAATCCAGCAGGTTCTGGAGAACCGGTAGTGGAAATTTTGAGTACTTCGGAGAACTGGCAAATACCACCTCTGGCTGGCCCCAGAGTGGGGTGGGAATGGAGATTTTGCAGTATCCTTCTCCTGGAGTGGAGTGGGAATGGAGATTTTACAGTATCCTTCCCTGCCACACCCACCAAAGCCACACCCACAGAACCGGTAGTAAAAATAATTGGATTTCACCACTGGTTCAGATGAAATATTAAATTTAATTAATCTAAGCACATTACAAGTTAACATAATGTGTGACCCCAAAGGTGCTTTTTTCAGGAGGCAACTGGACTTTCTTGTTCTTTCTTTTGAAGACGTTTCGCTTCTCATCCAAGAAGCTTCTTCAGCTCTGATAGGATAGTGGAGAACGGAAGGATTTATCTTCCTTGCAAACAGCTGGTCATTTGCATCCTTTTAGAGGGTCCTTGAAGCACTTGGAGGTTTATCTGTGTCCTCAGGGTCACCTACAGAAACCATTTGCACTATTCAGGTGACCCTGAGGACACAGATAAACCTCCAAGTGCTTCAAGGATCCTTAATAAGGATGCAGATGACCAGCTGTCTGCAAGGAATATAAACCCTTCCATTCCCCACTATCTTGTTAGAGCTGAAGAAGCTTCTTGGATGAGAAGCGAAACATCTTCAAAAGAAAAAACAAGAAAGTCCAGTTGCCTCCTGAAAAAAGCACCTTTGGGACAACCATGACCTGGATGACTGAGAATCTCTACAGACAATAATGTGTGAACCTATCCTGTACATGCTTTGCAAATCAGAATCAAACCCTGAGTGTCTGATGCCACTCCATAATTGCCTCATCTCTTCAATATGTTGTAGTATCAGAATTGCATCTGGAGTCCATGGATTTCTATAGTCTTTGGAAATTGCTCTCTTAGGATGCATAAATTGTTATGCTGCTGCTGTTGTTGTTCCAATCTCTAACCCAGTCCACGCAACAGGCTAACTCGTAGTAGATGGGTTGGCTTAGCACGTTGCTATTGCGATTTGAAAGTTTTAGCTTTTTCCTTTGTATGTTTTGTGGATCTGGATAATGTGGAGATATCAGGCAAACTTTTATTAATATGTATCCATAGGCATTTGTTATCAGGCCTAGTGACATAGCATGTACAATATCGTGATGCCATGCAAATGACATATAGTTTGTAACTGACACAATGACATGCTGTACATCATTTGCACAACGATGAGACAATGTACATGACATTCTTTGCCTGGCCCATCGTGAACCCTCTTTTATTCTTTTTTCCTGTCAGTCTTGACAACATCTTTCAACCTACACTTGGCCTTAGGATTTGCGCTCAAAAAAAAAAAAAAAAAAGGAAGAAAAGGTTGAATCAGGACAAACAGGATTGAATCTAACTAAAATTAAAAGAACGAATTATAGTTATTTTGTTTCACTTTCCTTTGTCTTAGAGGTTTTTAACCCACTGTATTCCAAAATACCAACTCAGCAGTAACTTTTGAAAGGGCTCCGAATGGATGGCCATATCCAAGGATTTGGGAAACAAAGGCTGTGGGAACCCTGCATATCATGCACCCCGAAGCAGGTCCAGAGATGACAGACAGGCAGAATGCAAATGATAGAAGACCTTTTGTATTACGAGAGATGCTTTAAAATGCAACGTTGTTCTGTCCACCCTTTCAAGGGTTCTTAATAGGGTGAAGTGACTGTTAGGCAACTCATGTTTTATGCAGTCGTTCTCTCCGGGTTCGGCTTTTAACCGTTTTAAATTCAGGTTGGCAAGGTTGAGAAAATACATTCTCTTCCTTGCCATGTTTTTCTTCTTTTTTTTTTTTTCCGACGGTATGCTTCAGTGAACAGGTTGGCTTTGTTCCCAGGAACCAGCTACAAGTAAATGGCCACAGCCGGCCATGGACTTGATGGGGATGTGTGTTTGTCTCAGTCAGCAGCCTGTCATCCTAACACCCAGTTTTTCTACAGCCGTCAACCAGATGGTTTTGGAGAAGAAAAAAAAAAACAGCAAGCAAGGCACAAAACAGCTTTCTTTCTTCTACACCCCCAATGCTGCCTGTCCTCCAACTCTGATGGCCAGAGAAGTTTGAGATTTACACATTACACTTACCCTTAATTTTCAGAATAAACCACAAATGGTTGAGTCTGCAAAACAAGAGAGGTTTTAAGGAGTCAGCCTGTAGTCCGCAAGGGATTGGGACCAGGGATTTTCAGAATAAACCACAAATGGTTGGATCTGCAAAACAAGAGAGGTTTTAAGGAGTCAGCCTGTAGTCCGCAAGGGATTGGGACCAGGATTTTCAGAATAAACACAAATGGTTGGGTCTGCAAAACAAGAGAGGTTTTAAGGAGTCAGCCTGTAGTCCGAAGGGATTGGGACCAGGGGTGGGTTCTAAATTTTTTTACTACCGGTTCTGTGGGCGTGGCTTATTTTGCGGGTAGGGCTTGGAGGACATGTGACTAGGTGGGCGTGGCTAGCTGGTCAGAGTCATTTCTGGAAGGTCCTCGCACT